ATTTTTACCACTATATAAACCCATTCCCTTTCCCCTTTTTGAACAGACAAAAAGTCACTAAAAATTGAGGTTTCTATTCTGTATTTGTTTACTATTCTGTTCTGTTTGGCTCTTGGCCGGCTGAAAGCCAAGGCCACCGGATTTTTACTTTTCTGACCATCTCTTGGGTGTGAGCACTACCTTGGGTTCTTGAAACCCTTGGGAAATTGACACATTTGAGACTCGGGGTCCTTACTGCTGTTCCTTTCTTATTTATTGAACAATAACTGGTTAGTTTCTAAACCCTCACAATGTTTATTCTCTTATGTTAGCATGTTCTTTGAAACTGCACGACTTAATGTATTCCCTTGACTCTCTTTATGTGTGATTCTGCCTATAATTGCTAGCCTAATAATGTCTCTGCACCTAACTTAGTTAATTTAGATAGAATGAAGCATGTTTAGTTTGGTGTTGTTGATAATTCGAATGTTCTGCCTTGATTATATGGTTTTATCCATGATTCTCTGCTTAATTCTGAACTTCTAGTGATTAATTGATATTATTAGCATGCCTTAACTTGTTTAAGACCTTACTCTAAGTGTAGTATGCTCCTATAACTATGGTTGCCACTCTATGTGTTCTTGCCATGTATAATTCTGCACCTCTAACAACCTGTTATCCTTTAAACTAATCCTCCTTGACTTATACCCTCTATGATATCTAATCTTGTTTGTATTATACTGTGTAATCCTTAGTTTTGTATAATCTGATCCTTTAAGTTCTACACTGGTTGCATTACTTGGTTTTACTAGTCTAATGCCCTTGCCTGTTGACCTTGCAATCCTAGGCTCCTTGTTCCTTATCATATGTCACCCTGCCCAGTGTGTTAATTTTCTTTTGGAGTTCATTATGTGATTATCTTACAAGTTTGCAAATGTTTTCCAAACCTATTACCCTACTCCTATTTTCACTGGTTGTTTCTTGTTTAATTATGGGGCTAGTTGAAAGCCAAAGCCCTTCCCCTAAGTCTCCTCTATCAACCTCCCTAGTGTGAGCACTGCCTTGGGTTCTTGAAGCCCTTGGAAACTCTGACACACTAGAGTCCAAGGTTCTTTTCCACCTTTTCCCTAATTGCTCAACTTTGCCCCATCTTCTCACCTACTGGATAAACCAGTTGGTTTGTGTAAATGGCTATACCTCTGGGACTTTTTATGGCTACTGGATGTGGGCTATTTTGTGTGAATGGAGATTGTTCCTGGGCTGTTGTGAAACTGTGTTGAAGGCCTAGCTAGGCTAGGTATACATTGGGCCTGCCGTAGGCCCACTATAACTATTCTGTAATTCTGTAATTTATTTCACTCATTGGGATTGTAATAATGTTATAATAATAATTGGGGTGTTAGTAATATTGGGAAAAGGGATTTATTTTAATATTTGCATAAAACAGGTAGAAATCCTGCCTATAGGTGTTTACTTTGCTCAAACATGTTCTGCTATTGTATGTGTTAGATAACCTTCCTATAGGTATTTAATTCGTTTAACATATTCTGTTTCTACATGCTAGATGTCCTGCCTATAGAAAATAAAATGACCAATGTCTCAGTGTGCATTACAGTATATTCATTAGGTGCTACGTCCATAGGGTTCTGTTAATTTATGTTCTACCAAATCTGCATTTTAGAAATCATGCCTATAGGGTTTAATTGGTTAATGTGTTGTTGTTATAATTGCTCATTTAGGAAACATGCCTATAGGAGCTAAAATCAGTTTCAATCACTAATCGTAGAAATCTTGCTTTAAGTGCTAATATTGAACTTTCAAACATTGTTTCATTGCTTAACTCTGCCGCTATTAGAAAGTATGCCTATGGGATCAAACTGGGTAATTTTGAGTATTTTCAATAGTTATCATAGCCAACTACTGCGTAAATCACCTAGAAATCATGTCTATAAGTTTAACCACTTGAAATCTGTAATTTCAACAATCAGCTCGCAATACCAGATTCCCTAAAAAGTATAGTTGTTCAGAAATCACGTCTATAAAGGTAGCATCTTGCATCTGAAACTGCCTGCATGTTCGAATCCCAAGGTCACATAGAAACCATGTCTATAGGGTCTAATGGCTTTAATTTACCTCAATCCTGAAATTGTCTAACGTTTAATGTGAAAATTTATTCGCGTGCACTTGTTGTCTAAGTGTGGAGGTTAACTTGAGCCCTTAATTGCTTTTACATGAAGTCCAACTTATTTTGTATGTCGCCTAGTTTTATCATTTCTGAGCAGCCTAAGCTAATTCTAGAAACCATCCAAAATAGAGGTCTAAATGCCTCCCGGGCCATAGGTACGGGAGGGGTAGTGCACGCATAGGGCATGGTTTAGAATCAACTAGTGCGCTTTAGGTAAAAGCTTAAAGATAGTAATCGGGTAGCAGGAGATGATAGTCTGTGCCCGCTGAATAATACGAGTAACACCCCACCTCGAGGGAGTTACGAAGTATTATTTATGTTGCAGGGGTGATCCTTTAGGCTAAAAAACTTAGGACCCCTATCTTGTCTTTAAACCAATTATCTGTATTTACTCAAGGACTTTCTAATAATGATTTTTTTAAACTTCTTATTTTTCTATCTGACTATTTGACTAATTCATATCATTCAAATTCGGTCGGGACCCACAATTGTGGATCTCGAAGAGTGCCTAACACCTTCTCTTCGAGGTAATTTGAGCCCTTTGCTGACGCAAACTGGTTAAACCAGAGTTATTTGCAAATAGGTGACCTAACGCACCTCAAACCCGTTAGGTGGCGACTCTCTCTTTTAACACCTTCCTTTAAAAGAGTTGTCACATGTCGAAGCCCGATTTCACGAGAAAGAGGGGCGCGACAGCATGGCGACTCTGCTGGGGAAATTATTTTAGGCTCTTACGATAGCGAACTTGGTCTATATGAATTAGTTTTCTCTGATAAGCGTATCTTTGTTATTTTGCTGTTACATGAATATCCCGCTCCCGTTTTCCTTTTATTGCTACATGCACATCATTTTCCTTATTTTTTCTTTATGTGAATTCATATTAATATGCAAATCTTTGCCTAATTTGGTTACAATATGCGTTTTCCCTTTATTTTCGAGTTATGTTCACTTGCTCTGAATTATTTTTTTTTAAAATTTTGCTATATCATGTCTTTCCCTATCCATACCCTTTTGTTTGCTTTATTGCAATTCTTTCATATTGCGCAAACTAACTTCTTCCTTGTTTTCCTTTCTTTTTATATCTTTAAGCTCAATTTAATACTGCGTTTATTGTCTTCATCATGCAAAATACTTGGCAACGTGTTGTTTTATCTTTACATAAAGTATGCTCCACATCATATTCCACTCGTGCGTAATTAATACCATAGCGGCGCTTGATGAGTGTTCGCGCTCTTCCTAAATCACCCTTTTAAATTTGAAAAGGCTTATTTGCGGTAAAATTAGTCGATCAACGGTGCAATTGACGGTTCCATGCCTTCCTCTCTCAAGTTGTCTACTTGAGGGTACCGATCTAGACTCTTCTAGAAACCCCCACTCTAATATTAACTATGCATGCATCATGTCTAAACCTAGTATGGGTTAGAATGTTGTCCGCGTAATAACTCTCTAAGACAAGCCTTGTCCAAAGCCCGTCGGGATTTTCTTAAATCCCAATGGGTACAATCATGATATGTTTATTATTTGGAGAAAACATTCCGATATGCTAATCATTAATGTGTAAATAGTCAAATCCGGAGGGGGAAAGGCTAACTTTATTTGTTTTGCAGAAATGAGGCACGAAGTCCCCAGGTTCGGCATGGTTCGAAGTATCCTGCCTTTGTTGCTAGATTGGTGGGAAAATCTCTCGCCAAGTGACAAAAACCATGTGAAAAGGGTTCTCAGGAATTTACCTTCTTTGTTAGATATTCAGCCGAACAATGTGTTAATTGAAGCTGCCACCATGTTCTGGGATGAGAAGAGGGTCGTATTTCGTTTTGGTGATATAGAAATGACTCCCCTTCTAGAGGAAATATGAGGCTTCACTGGGCTCCACCTGGCTTGTTGGTACCGGAAAACCGTACTTCTCGAAGTTTCCTAAAAATGATAGGTTTCAGGAAAAATGATGAGTTAGTCTGTCTGAAGAAATTTTACATACCATTCGACTTCCTTTACGAGCGTTATAGTCACAGCAAGTCATATCGTCTTTACCATGATGAATTTGCCATCACTTCTTTGAGTTGGACTCACCGCCGGGTTTTTGTATTCATTGTCTGTTTTCTGGGGATGCTGATATTCCCGATACAAGGAGAAAGGATCCACACTCGCCTAGCTATGGTCACTAAGACCCTAATGGAAGGAATTGAGGGGCAAACTTACACTATTATTCCAATGATCGTGGCTGAGATGTACCGAGCCTTAGACCGTTGCAAAAAGGAATATAGGCATTTCGAGGGTTGCAATATGTTGCTGCAAATATGGTTATTGGAACACCTTCAGAGAGGACAATACCGTCAAGAATTTCCGCGATAACCATAGAATGACCACATAGCTTATCACCATCCGAAGAGAATGACTTTTATGACAGAGAGATTATAAACTGTTAGTTAAAAGCTGTAGAATTATCCAATTTATTCTGAATCAGTTTTTTCTTCTGAGGAAGTTAATGGACACACACTGAGGCATGCATCTAACGAAAAAATATTTCGTTAAAGATCAAAGTTGCACAAAAACTGGAATAGCAAAACATAAACAGAACCAACAGCATTGAGACATATAACAAATCAAAATGATTGATTAGCAGTAAATACTGTCTCGCATTTCATACAGGATGGATGTGCAACTTTTCATTAGCGAGTACAGTTTCAAGACCAAATATTTTAATGGCTCCTCTACACGCGCATTAGCGAGTACACACTATACATTATGGTAGATACGCATGCAAACTAAGAGAATAATTTTAATTACTATAGAGCTGAACAAAGATGCAGAGTGAGGACCAATCTTAAGAACATGGAACTGAGGAATAAAGCTTTTCAGCAATTGTATCCCTTGAGTGCAAATTTAGTAAATTACACAGGAACCCATAGAGCAGCAAAATACAAAACAAAACGCATTAAAAACTAGCAAGGAGAACTCTCGCCCGACCAGAAAGCAACAGAAATCCCATTTGGCATCTACAGAGGGCCACACCAACCAAAACGCTCTCCTAACCATTCACAACCATGATTCAAATGGAATGATACTTTCATCCAGCAGTTTTCTTTTAATGGAATCTCTCACATCATTAAGAATTGGATAAGCAGATGCATTGACTGGTAAAAAGCCAAACATATGAGTTAGAGTAGAAACTGGAGCACCTTCATTAGCTCTCCCAAGCGATGTGAAAGCATTGACAAAAGTAGAAGGGACGCAGTCAAGAATGCCCTGATTCCATATGTCATCAAGAAGGATTGACTCCCTTGATGATGCTAGAAGAAAGTCTGCCTGAATTATGAAAGGGAAGTTCGTCACCATCTCCGTGGGAAGAAAAGCATAAATACCGGGGGAGCTGGTTCCCCTGTTGAGGCGCTCTCCATTAGGAAAAGCCAGAGTGATTACCCACTCATCGACATCCATTCTTCTATCCACCCTGTGCTCCCGCCTAACAGGAAACTTCTGTTTCCACATGTAGTAACTGCATTCCCCCATACCAGATTCTTCATCAGCTGAGAGATGAAGCAGGTAGGATTCAGCATCAATATTCTTCTTCTTAACAAAATCGGTCTCACTAGATATCGAAATAGCACTAACTGTATTAAGCCTGGGATCCTCATTGTCTTCCCTGACTGAAAGCTTCTTTATTTTTGAAAGAAAAAGAAGAACTTCAGGATGGATGCTTGAAAGCTGCTGCTTAACAGGTTTCACATTGTCAGGTTTCAGTGGTAGCACTATAGTTGTGGCTGGAAGGGTAGCAGACCCATAAATTTGTGTTATAACTGAAAGAGTTGGATTTGCTTCCACCCATTCAGGTACAATATAGCCTACTTTGCAATGCTGGCAAGGTTCCTCGCTAAATCGTATCTGATACCCATTGCTGAAGACGTAGGGCCGAGCAGTGATGAGAAACACACTCTTGAAGCCAATGCCTGAAAAAACAATGCATCAAGTGCTTTTAGAAACATTTAATATTTACGAATAAGGTAAATGCATTTAATATTTCCCGACTGAACTATCACCTACAAGGTGCAGGCAAAAATAGTATCTTCCGTGGATAGTAAATTTCTTAATTATATTGCCACTATTCGTATGTACTATTGGTTAGTCTATGATAAGGCCCCTACTGGTACTGTACCTACGGCGGGAGCTATATTTGATTCGTTTCTGAACACCGAACCAGTTACATGGACAGCGTCACGGGACGTATGTCATAGGTTTGTGGTTAAGAAGACGTGGTCTGTCCAGTTATCGACTAATGGATTAGATCCGTCAAAGGCCTACACTACACCAGCTGCCCCAGCTAAACAAGTGGATCGGCAGACCAAGTTCTTCAAGAAACTTGGTGTGACGACGGAGTGGAAGAATACTAGAGAAGGAGGCATAGGAGACATTAAAGAGGGGGCCCTCTATATTGTTGGGGCTCCTAGTTATGGTTTTACTGTAAATGTAAATGCGCGATTTCGCGTATATTTCAAGTCTGTTGGATATCAATAAATTTATAATTCTGTGATGACATTATAGTTGTGATATTTCAGTATTAAAAAATTGGAAAATAAATAAAAAATGGGGGGAAACCAAAACCGCACAAGGTAAATGCATTTCTAAGGAAATTTGAAAGGAATAATCAAATCAAGAATGCAATCGGATACATTGGATTCATCAAGAAACTAGAAAAATATCAGTTCTCTGTTCAAATGCTAACATGTTATGAAATTAAGAAGCAGCTTACAAAGGGCAGTTATAAAATCCATGAACAAGAACAGGACCTATTGAAGTTGATGTGAATACATTTTAAACTTGTTTCCAAGGGAGAAATATGCGTGCAGTTTTACTTCTTGTAAAGTGCACTTCTCGCTAAAAAAAAACCAAGTATGCAGAGACGGGGACTCTTTTGAGTGCCTTTCTTCCAATATTTATGTGTTAGATTTTAGAGATTGGAGACTGACAGAACATCTTAAGTTGGGATGTAAACTGAAATCTAACGTAGATAAACAGATATTCTGGCACAAAAAATACAGAAGATGAGGTTAAATCGAAACAAACCTAATCTCCTCTTGAAAAGATATGACGCATTCACTAATTATCAGAAAAAAATGGAGTAACAAGATATCATTTGTTCCGTCCTGTAACTCTTGTAGAACAACATAATGTGTCTTTTTAAACATATAAGGGATTCTCTAAAACTATAGGTTCTCCAAACTGTTGGGAAATCATCAAGGAAAAAATAACTTATGATGACTATGAATTACTTTTAACCTCTTTGTATAGGCTAACTTAAAGCACGGGAATTATTTAAGTTTAAATGAATACATATATGTGGAGGCAGAAAATTGTATGCAGTTCTACTCCGCTAAAGTGCATTTCGTTCAAAAATCAAGTTGGGTTCAGCTTTATATTCCTTCTACTCTATTCAGGCCGATCTCATTCCAATACTGCGAAACAATCTTACAAACAAATTAGGAATTCTCTAGTAATCAAACTAGTAAAGCAAAAACAGACCGAGCCAGGTATACACATAAATGAACACACGATCATATATAGGGGGTAAAACGAAGAGTCAACATTTAGGAACAATCAATTGATATACACATGCCCATGGATAGGTACAAGTAGTAGACGAAAATTGTACAAAGTTTTTTATTACCTTTCTCGCCGATGTAGCCACGTTTGCGATTGCCCTTCTTAGTAGAACGTCCGACGCTGCAAATGGACTCGATATTTTTGCGGGAGAATCCTTTCTCGTTGTTGAATATCAAAAGCGTCGCCTGAGCTCCGGTGTCCGTTATATCTTTGGAAGTTATCACAAATTCCAGTGAAGGATCCACGCCTTCGTTGTACTCGTTATCCTCCGCGTTCTGCAATTACACAATGACAACTATTTTTATTAGGAGAACATATCATACATACTTTTATATAATAAAAAATGACACTGAAAATGACCCAAAAAAAAAAATTGATTTGATAAATAAGTATGACAAAATATTTTTCATGAAAATACATTTTGCTGGTAATAAGCGAAATAGTAGAGGCACGGACGTTTATAAAGATGGAAAAAGATATAAAAATGCAGAGAGAGGGGAGAAAGAAAAAATAACCTGGACGAGTTCCATGAAAAAGTGAACATCCTTAGCGTAAAGCTCAGCAGAGAGATTTTTGACAGCTTGATGAAGGTCCTCAGTGAGTGGATTAGTTTCACCTCCAATGGAGAACTTGTTTCTTCTTATTTCTTCAATGTGCTCTTTTGCCGTCGCCATTAACGTCTGATCACTCACTTCTCACCCAACTCAAAAAGTACGATTGTGCTTATACCAGAGAAGTGTATTAGCAATACATGAGAGGTTGTGTCTCGACTTTTGAGGGATTTATAGAGTGGTAGCGAGTAGATGGAAAGTTTTTGTCACGACCCGAAATTCCCAACTTCGGACTCTGATGGCGCCTAACATTTCACTTGTTAGGCAAGCCAACGTTAGAATAATATTAACCAACTTCTAAACAGTCTTTACATTATTAATAATCAAGGAACCAAAAGCGAAAGCAAAGTTTGAAATATAGTAAAATAATCCATAAAAATAACGGTGTCTAAATAACATCCCAGATTTGGTGTCCAAGTGTACGAACTTCTAGAATAAATATAAATAAAGGTCTGAATAAAATAAAACTGTCTGAAAATAAACACACAGCTAAAATAAAATAGACGGGGACTTCAGAACTACGGACGCCGTGCAGTTA